TCGTTGTTGGTCGGGCCGTTAAGACCTAGCAGTTGAGAAACTCCTGTTTTGGCTTGACGAAGAGAGGCTGCATAACGGAATAGGCTTCTAGGGTTAGAAGCGAATTTGTCCATAAGCTTTGTTTGGTACTGAAGCCTGTCTTCTCTTATAGCCTTCGTGCATATGTTCCTGATATGTTTATATTGCCTATACGCTCCATCGTTATTAGTTCGTTTGTATTCCGCCCAGCAGTGCCTTTTGCGGCTTAGCAGGCGAAGGGTACGGTTCTTGATTACTGTAAGTGGCTTGCAGCTTTTGGGAACCGTTTGAGGATCTGAATGGTCTGTAGCACATAAGAGTGTGTGCAGTAAGAAGTCCCAATGACCATCCACATCGAGTTGAGGGTGAACATCCCAAACCACCTATTGTAGATAGTCATGTAGAGCTGGCACATTCAGCCGTTTAAAATTCCAACGCAAATTATTGTTGGGATACCTTAGCTTAGTTTTGATGACAAAACTGAAGGCTATGACGGCATGATCGCTTTTTCCCAGAGGAGCCAGGATTGAGAGGTTGTCGACTAGGAATTCTTCGTTAGTGAATACACAGTCTAAGCGCGATGGTGTCTGACTGTTTCTCCAACGAGTTGCCGACCTCACATTTTCATATAAGCCCAAGTTATCGATGAGGTTGAAGAACCGAGCTTCAGTTGAGTTGTCGCCTCCAGTGTACGTGTGTTCCGCGAAGTTGACTCTAGGGAGATTAAAGTCCCCTAGAATCAGGATGTGTGAAACCGAGACGGGTAGAGCGGGATAGTCCTTCCAGCATACGACTATCGTACTCAATGTCGGCAGTTGACTTCCTGTAAATGACTCCGACTAGACACCTCGAAGTACTAGACAATCTTACAGAGCACCTTATGGATTCCTCAAGATTGTTAAACTCGAGGTTGTGAACTTGGTGCACCTCCAAGCAAGAGCTTATGTATATGGCTACTCCACCCACAATTTCTGTTTTTCTGTCGTTGCGGAACAAAGTCATCCCAGGTAATGCTAACTCTTGGTCGGAGAACTGAAAAGATATCCAGGTTTCAGATATTTCTATCAGATGGGCCTTATTAGCGTTGCTAAGTTCACGTAGTTCATCCAGTTTGTTTGGTAGACTCGCGGTGTTCATATATAAGCAGTTTATGCTTTCAATTTGGAACGCGTGAGCTTCGTCCTATTTTTCTGTATGAACCTTATGTGAATGGACAGGTAGCCCACCTATATGAGGTTTGCCGAGGTGGTAGGCCCTGTCCTTTACACGTTTTTTATCGTTTAGACAGTCCACAAGTGGAATGGTCAGCTCCAACGTGCCTTTGTTCTTGGTCCTAGCTTCGTATGACCTATCCGGGTGCATGTGGATTCCAGGTGGCAATCGACGTCTATTAGCACGAAATGCTTCCAGAACTGCAGCCGCCATGTGGGAAGATGGGAAGGTTATCTTCATTAGACGGGGTCTAAGATCACCGTCCTTCTTGGCTAGTCTCGTCACATGCTGAGTCAGTATGTGTTTGGGCCTCAAGGACTGTTTGATGAATTTCCATTCCCTGATGTCAGAATTTGATTGAGTAGGGTCTGCATTTTCCGGTATACCTTGAACAATTATGTTTCTTCCGCGAAAAAAACTTCTCGCGAGATTCTTTAGGGGTGTTTCGTATGATATTGTGCTCAGAGTACGATATGTCGGGCAATATTCTTACGTTACCATCTGATTTCAGCAAGTGACTTGCTAGCAAGACGTCCTCTACGTCGGTAGCATCCTTAAGTGTTACTCGAAGAAGCCTCGGGTGATTTAGATGCTTAGAATCCTTTCCTCGAGTGAGCCGGGTGACCGTCAAAGACTCTATTCTAGGAAGTTCGAGCTTCTTGTTCAATTCACCCCAGAGCATCCTGTCGTTTTTGTCCTGCAGACTGAGAGGAAGGTCAGGATTGTCAACGAGGTTCATGATAATGAGAGAATCGTCACGAACTGTTGTTAATTTACCAGGTTTCACGATGGGTTCAGGTTTAATAACTTGTTGTTTGGAGGTCAGTGTGCGTTTTTGAATCTTGGGCTCTTTATTGACCGGATGAACAGTCTTGGGAGTAGACTGTGAGAACAAATCACCAGTTATTTTCCGTGCAGCAACACTTGGGTTGCTCGGCTTAGGCGGTGATGCCTGGTTCTTTTGGGCTCTCTTAACGTGGGTCGAATCACCTACAGGGTTTTTGGGAACCACTGTTGTGTTCAGGGACCCTGAGCTGATAGACCCGAGTTTGCTTAGGGAGTCTAGTACAGTCGACGTAATGATGGTCCTGAGCCTCGACACGTCGTCATTAGTGTTGATGGATGCTCCATCGATGGTATACCTATCGACATCCCTATTTTTGAGTCCGTCGCACGCTCTTGTTTGTCGACCGGTTTTTTTTACTATCGTTATCCAAGTTAACTGACAACTTGTTCCGAAGACCTGTCAGTAGGACAATGATGTTACTCAGCAAGACTACTGCGTCCGTGCTGCACGTGACACATACCAACTTTTGGTCTGACTTGCTGAGTTTGTTGTAAGAAGTTGCTGTCAGATCTGTGCATGCTTCGTGGAACCAACCTTTGCAGTTGTCGCACTGCATGCCAGTTGTGACAACAAAACGGCATCCCGGACGTTTGCATGAGTTTTTCGTGACTGTGTTGAAGTAAACTATGTTATAGATGCTTGCAAGAGCCTAAGACCTTTCAAAAAACACTAAAAAGCACACTGAAAACGGACAAAAATGGACAAAACGAGTGATATAAACTGAAACTAGTCTATACGTGAAAAACAAAAAAAAACGAATAGTAAGCTGAGGCAAAACCACAGGTAACTATTAAATATAGTAAAACTCAAAAAAAGTAATCTACCGGACGTATAGCTCGGGACAGATTCTTTAGAACTGAAATGGTACAACACAGCAAAAGTTTGATAAATGCAAATCACGTTAGGACTAAACTTCCCGTTCGAAAATCGCCTTTCGTGAGACCACATTTAGAATGTGGGGCTCAAGCAGCGAGTTCCTGTTTCAAGTTTAGGGTGGATATACTGGAACGAGCACAACGACGATTGACCAAGGCGGTAAAAGGTCTCTGTGGCCTATCTTATGTAGACAGACTGAGACAACCTAACTTATTTCCGTTATCTTACCATAAATTACGGGCTGATCTAATATTGGCTTACTGCATACTGAACGATGACCTTAATGTTAATATGTTTTATCTTTTCATTCCCTCTAGAACTCGTCATTTGAGAGAACATTCTGAGAAAGTTCGAAAAGTGAAATCAGACCGTCTACATATGTAGTTCTGTTCCTCGCATCAAGTAGTAAATCACTAAAATTCTCTACCAGAACACATAATATCAGCACCTGTTGGTATATTGAAAACGAGATTGGATTTCCATAGTGGCAAAAACCGCAAGGATTAATACAGGTTGATAGACCGCATATTCTTATTACTGAAGACTGAATTGTCAATAACCGGTTCGTTCAAAACTTTTCGCTTTGTTGAAGTCACGAGATTTCACCATTGGCTTTTGCCGACGTTTCGTTTCTATATAGGAATACTTCATAAGTCGTTATTTGGCCCACAGCATAATTTTTTTGTACCGCGGTCTGTTATGTCCTTGAATCGCTTAAACGCGTGGTATTATGTACATATTCTTGTATAAAGTTATTATAGTCACTGTTGACTCACGAATACGTATTTGTATATGTATATGTGCATATATATATGTAAGGGTTGCTCAATACGCAAAACCATATTTTCGAGGCCTCGGAACAATTTTATGGTGAGGCTATGATTTAAGGACAAATCAGTTAGACATAAGATAACCTCTCAGATTTTAGTACGAAATTCACTCATCCACTTAGTTAAATTGAGTTTTGGTATTATAGCTGATGTCATTTCGTGATGAAAATCCTGAACATTAACCACTAACTGTTAATCATAATTCTTATTACCCACATTGGTTTATAACACTCATTCGGTCTCGGTTATTAGGTGGACACCCCCATAAATTGTAGTCTCACCGAGCCTCCACAAAAACCTATGTGGAATTCGGGACTTGAGTCAGGAAGTTATGGAACTTACCGAAAGTCATAATGATGCAACCTTCCGCTAAATCTACCGGAAAAACGGTTGATCATCACTTTAGTTCTGCAAATACTAAAGGCGATTACTCCAAGTGTTGCTTATTGATCACTCCTATCATTAGCTAAGTTGTACCTCTCAGTTTCTCGGAGTATGACAAGAATCATGCCTCTAATCTAGAACACTCTCTAACTACCCAGACACTGATTACAAGAAAAAAACAGTTCGTTAATCCTGACAAACTAATTGAAAGTTGTAATGCAGTTTACCAAATAGTTTCGTGAGGTTAAACGATACACAATCGTCAATTATGACAACGTGTATGTAGCTTTCGTTTACTGCATGGTTCTGGGAATAACTGAATCTTCTTTTCGACCTAACAACTCAGCTGACGGACAAAAATCCCTCGATAATCATTTTGGCCGAAAAACAGAAGAGTCCCACCGGTCATTGTTTGTGGTTTAGATAACTATCATATAAAATGCTTTATATCTTACTCATATCCAAAATTGGCTGCAAACTTGATTTTTGAGATCAATGAATGCTCGCGTGTTTATTATAGTCCTTTAATTTATACAGGTGCTACCACAAGAAAAATGCTGAACGGTATTAAAAAGGAATTGAAAAACATGTTAACACCGAGTAATCCAGTTTCTTGTTACGTATTGTGTCCTTCCGTTAGTGATAAAACTAGTGTTTTAAACTCTTGCTGGTATCATATTGCTGCAAAACTTTTGAGGGATTGGTAATCATAAATGAAGAGGTGAATGCTTTATTTCAAACTTTTTTTCAGTATAATCATATAAAGTTTAGGATTTCAGTGCACACTTGTCTTCAGAAATTAATATTTTGTTGTTTCATCTCTTTTAGCAGCTATGTGTGACGAGTCTAGCTACATTAGTAAGCCTATTTCCACTATACAGGAATTGGTACACTGGGACTTCCCGTCTACATCGAATCTTACAATACCTTTAAGCTATTTCAGTGACTTTTTAAATGGTAATTTGTCTTTTCCTTTACCAGCAATCAAATATAGACTTTGGCTTTATTCGTAAGTCCTCTGGATTACCTAAAGTTATATACTGTCATGATATGGCTGGCGGTTATCTGTCCTCTGATCGAACAGTCAACTTCACTTGTGTTTTTCCTGCTTTTCGATTCGTTCATTGGCACTTGGTTGACATATTTATTTACTTCAGTCATCAGTTCATAACTATACCGCCAGTCTCATGGATTAATCTAGCACATAGGTAAGCTATTTTAGAATACTTTTTAAGATACACCCATTTTAAACGTTAACTTACCAGTTATTTTTAACAAAAGACCGTAGTAACGAAACCATTACGGTAAGGTCACTAAGTACGTGTCTTTCACTGATGCAAACTAAACTCATAGTTATCTAATAATTTTTATGTTTGGATTCGGCCTATTTAACTGTTTCTTGTGTATTTTTCGCATTATTTATAAAAAGCCTAGGTACTACACAATTTTCGAAAACATGAGAAAGGTCTTGTTGACATTTTATAACATGCACTTTTCGGCAAAATGTTCCAAAAATTCACCGTAATCTAGTCACATTACTTACTAATAATAACCTATGTGAAAATAATCCATTATCTCGAGGCTGAATTACTGTGTTTATATCAAGATTAACGGTATTTGCCAGTTACTTATTAACTATGTTTATAATTGTAAAGACTTCTTACTCGGCTCAGAATACCTGCCCTATTCATTAGTGTAGAACTTAGAAAAACAAACAGAATCTCTTAATATGAATTGTTTCTCCGAACATAAACTAAACAGTCAGTCAGTCAGCTACAATGTAGGACCAGGCACATTTGTACATCGGTCCAAGTTGTCATACCGCATTAGCGCAGCAAGATGAACACCAGATTCATAGGAGTGGTTAAGTCAGTGGTGATAATATATAAAAGAAAGATTGCATATAAGGATATAGTACAGGAAGAAAGAATTAGTTGGTAAAAGGAAAGATGTAAAGCAGTTTTAATCTCACAGTTTAAGGGAAGACAAAAAGTGTATACAACGATGCCATTGTGATCGATTCTGAGCCATGTCACCAAGAGTCTCCAACCACTGGTTACGATAGTCACGCGGATCCCAACTAAGTACTCTGCATCTACCAACATAGCTCAGACTAGAAGTTAGTGACTTCAAGGACTGATGTCACGTTTTGGTTTGGACGCCCCTAACTTTCTTCCAACCTTCTCCAACACCGGTTAGCATTGCACGTCGTGATAATCGGTGTCCAGGCATATGCAACACGTGGCCCAACCATCTCACTCGATGAAGATTCACTACCTCATCAACTGATTTACCATCATTCCCTAATACCCTGCATCTAACCTCACTTACTTACCCGGTGATCCCAGCATATGCGAGCAATATTTCTAGGGCATTTGTGGTCAAATGCTAGTAGCTTACGAGTATCTTCTACTCTTAATAGCCATGTTTAGCAGGTGCAAAGCAGAATAGAGCGAACTGCTGCGCAGTATACTCGTTTCTTAATTGATAGATGGATATCTCGCCTTCGCCGGGTGAATGACTACACTAGGATCCTGTATGCGTGTTTCGAAGACAACATACGTCAATGGTACGAGATTTTAGGGTCTTAGCCAAGGAGTTCTACCGGCCAATTTGACATATGGTGCGTACGTTAGTCTCCAATGTGTAGTTTGGAGCGAGGTTTCGGTAGACCTGGAACAGTGTTTCGCGCACTAGAATCGTTGGCTATGGTTACACTTGAGGAGGAAGCCAAAAGTAGAAGTTTAGAGTTGAAAGTCGATGTAGGAGGAATAATAGGAATTAAAGAGGGAGGTTGATTATGAATACAGTGGTCTTAAGTGTTGTTATAGGTATGAAGGCGGTTATCACTTCCCCGTTGCCCACATTGTGGAAGGGTTCTTCTGAAGGTACCTGAAAATGAAATTGGGTTAGAGGTAATCTTAGTGACATGAGAGCGTGAGCACAGTGCCCAAGGGACAATTGCTGGAGGTCGGTCACACACGACCTTTTTGTGGATAATTTTCGTGTTAGCTCCGTGCTTGTTGAGACCTTACTGCCGGAGACTGATGTCGGTGGGATAAGGCGAGGTGTGCATTTTTAGGGTTGACCTTTTCTAACCCCACCTCTGCTTGTGGGAAGGTAGCGTTGCTGTTATGCTGGAGGAAACACCTTACTGCTGTCACACCTCTGTACAGTCAGCAGTACGACTTCGCCTCAGGACCTTGGGTTTGCTGCTTTTAGTCTTACCGTTCTTCAACCGACCTGTCTAGCATGGTAGGACTTTGAGGAACGATTGTTTCAGTCAGTGTAGCTCGATTGGTTCATCACGATAGGCAAGCCCGACCACCACATCAAGGTAGCATCAACGGTCGGGATGAACTAAACAATGTTCGTGGTTAAAACATCATTGATAAAAACTCTATTTTTGGCAGATGCTAATACCTATTTATGATGATTTTCATGAATATTACTTTTCTGGTGATAAGATTAAGCAACGACTGGACAACTAGTTTTGCAATTTTAAACTCATGTTTACATAAAAGACTGTAAACCTATGACACTTTGATATTTAAACTTGACTGGCAGGAATCGGGTTACAGTTTTTGGTGGCTATGTATATCCATTCTTATAGTAAGTACAATTGAATGGATGCTACGCCTAATTTTACTTGAATACCATTATAGATCTGCCACACCTGTTCTCTCCAAGCTGGAAAAGCTTATCGTTTATCGACTATGTAGCATGTAGTTATGTACATGGTTGCTATAATTCTTTCTCAATGGATTACATTCTTAATGGTCGGTTAGTTATTCTGAACATTTATAAATCTTTTTCTGGTCATTTTTAAGACAGGGTGTCAGTGTCTATGGTACTGTAATTATGGAATCAGTGGAGTGTGATGGATTCAAATTCATTTTTATGGGTTCCTCGGAACATTATCGTGATGTCAATAAAATATCAAACTATAAGGATTTTGCCATACGTTTGGATCAAATAAGACGAGTTGTTGGGTTTGAGGGTTGGTTTATTAACTTTGAAATTTCTCTACCCTGGGTATGTAAACATTTATTTAATTTACTGCACGCTATTAATCTTCTAGTTTTCATAATTTTATCGTTCTATATATAAAAATTCACGATATTCATTTTTGGTTTTTGGTTTCTCACTACCAATCGGTATTGTCATTTTCACTCCTTAAGTTTTCCTCACGTTGATTCCCTTTAACTGTACTCACATGAATTAAAGCAATTTAGACCAATGTGAATTTTTGTCTGATCGAACTGTGTTTATGTTAATACATCTAATTTTCAACCCTGATCACGTTGCCAATATCTATAAATCTGTTTATAGTATGCGAGTATAAGGTTTTAACACGCTATTTATAATTAGGTAAGGTTTTTCTTACACTACCTTGTTTGCTTAAAAGACAGGTCAGTGAATTAATTTCTGTTTAATGTGATCCAAATATTCAGCATTATTAAAATACTATTGTACTTGAAAGTGGAATTTATCGAGAAAATGTCGACTAATACTTAAGGAATAGTACAAACCGAACTTAACTTTGGAGAAAGCATCCATATGAATATGGCGTCCGATTTTTTCAGCAAGTAGATCTCAGATAGTGTTGTGCGAAGACAACTTATCAGAACTGCAAGCAGTCCGATCGCATATTAACTTAAAATATCTTTATAAGAAATCAAGATCAAACTATAAGTGTCTGAACACAAGAAAATCAAAGATAGTAAGGGAAAAAGCAACATAAATCATACCACTCTGGATATCAAATTAAAGTTAGTATGACCATGGTAGGATTAACGTAGGTACAAACTTTTTGAACACAACGGGGTTTAAGTTTTCATATGACTGAGGTATCAAAAGTTCCCACATACATACATTTGCTCTCAGTGTTATGGAATATCATAGATTAGCTGTCAGTCGCCACCAGTAATTCTCAAGCCGAAGTGGACTCGGGGTAAAACAATTATAATTACATTTTCCGAAATTGAAATATGCTGAAGTCCCAAGTGGAAGAAAATGCAGATACCTAATCAGTATCGTTTCATGGTAATACGCACTGCTAAGGAGAGTCCCATACGACGAAATGGCCGTCCAATGCTTCCACGTTTTCCATGGTAATCTAGCTTTAATCGACCCATGAATTCAACTGTTAAATCACCAATATGTCAACAAATGCAATCGTATTTCTAGATAACCAGTATCATTAATGTTCTGGTTCGTCGAACTGTATATTTCTAAACGTCTTGCTTGATTTAGTTAATGATGTCGCGAGTCAGTCAATTAAAGCGCTTACTACTGTTTACAAGTGGGGAAAAAAACAGTAGTCTGGTGGAAGAAATATGTCCAGATAAGTTGGAACATAGTTGTACAAATGCCTTGTTTCTCATCTATGGTTAGCTATTCTATGATTTCAGCCTGTGAGTTTATTTTTCTTCCCTTTGTTTTTCTGGAAAGTTTATTTTCGCTTTGTTTTCTTGATATATGAGTAACTCCTAGTTCAAGTTTGATTATTCTCCTGATTTATTTTGTGATTTATAAACTACAAGATAAATGTATGTAAAATCTATTAGGTTGTTGCTACTCATTACTATTATCTTTTAGGAAAAAATTGCTACAATTCGTGATCGAATAAAGAAATTCCTACGAATGCTTAGAAACCTCGGTTCTGAAGTTATCTGGTTCGTATCTTAGTCTTATAATAACTAACTAGATTTTTTGTTATAATAGTTTTATGGTTGAAATAAACATCAAAAAGGATAATTTTTTCTTGCTACTACCTCATTCCATCTAAATAATCCACAAAAATTACATATTTTTCTCTTGAATGTTCTGCTTCCATATAATTACTATGCCTGTTACCCCACGAGGAGAAGCAAAGGTCTCCCACCAGCATTCTCCATCTAACTCTGACCTGGGCAAGTATTTCCAGTTGCTATTCATCTTTTTGATGTCTCATTCCGATTTCCAACACACTGTGTACTTCGGTCTTCCTCTTTTCCGTTTCCCTTCAGGATTCCAGGTTAGCGCTTGCTTCGTGATGCAGTTTGGTGATTTCCTCAATGTATGTTCTATCCACCCCAAACATCTTTTCCTAATTTCCTCAGCTGGAAGCTGATTTGTTCTCTTCCACGATAAGCTGTTGCTGATGGTATTCGACCAACGGACATTAAGTATCTTGTGTAAACAGTTTTTTATAAATACTTTTACTCTTTCGATGATGGTTGTGGTAATTCTTCAAGTTTCAGATCTGTGCAGTAGAACTGTCTTGAAGTTCTTATTGATGATTGCCAATTTGATGTTGTTTGACAGTTGTTTTGAGTTCCATATGTTGTCCAACTGTAAGAATACTGCCCTTACTTTGCTAATTCTTACCTTTACGTCTGCATCAGAACCTCCTTGTTCATCGACGATGCTGCCCATTGCTTCAGTGTGCTACAATTTGTTCATGATTACTAATCACGGTAGATAATCACTGTTCATATATATCAAGAAACGGCTGAAGTTTGAAGTCAGCGTAGTTTGTACTTTTACAGTTACTTCTTGTTATACATGTCAGTAGTTAAAGCGCTCAACTTTTAATCAATAGGTTGCAAATCCCAACTCCACTTTAATTCGGTTTTGTAAATGAAATAAAGTTGAAAGTCAATTACAAAAACATAGATTTAGTTATTGAATTTATATGAAAATTCCTTAAATGTCACAACTTTTAAATAAAATTTGCATCATATCATTGTTGCTTGCAGATTTGCATTGTTCTTTATTTAAGGTATGATGCACTAACTTGGTCTGGCCACTTAAGCTTTCAAAATGAATTGACCGAAGAAAATTTGCCGTATATGAAAGCTTCTGGAAGTGGTTTATTTCTCAATTATAATTGGAATCCAGTTAAGTTACGACGATCACAAGAGGTGTAAGTAACATTTTCAGCAAATTTATATTTCATTTCGAAATTATAGATCATTCATAACAGGAATTTCGAGGCCACAGCAATATGATTAACAAATAACGAATAAAGTATTGCTGAAATATTGTGAATACAGCTCATTGAATGAAATTAATTTAACATGTATTAGTTCTTCACACTGATAGTTAAATTCATATCGATTGAAAGTACTGGTGTAACTAAATATCTTTGTAGATGATATGGATTCAACCTTTGATAATGCTGTGGATGCAAACTGCTAAGAAGTCCAATATTAGGGCGAAACAGCTATTCAGTACTTCTTGATTTCTAGTGATCGTCTAACTGAAGTCAGTCCGTAGTGTAAAGCTACAAAATCCATTAATCCCAACAATCCCCTATCCTAATAAGTATTTTGCGAAGGTCTTAAATTTTAACCGACTGTTGGTTAATTAAATGTTATCATGCATTCGAATAACTACTCAAAACTCTTCCCTGTCTTATCCTATTGCTCGAACAGGGTTGTTAAAGCCGAAGACGCTGGGTTGATGGTACTTTATCATAAATCTCATTGAAGTATTGGCTAATCACTGTTAAATAACTGATTAAGTAATGTTAAAGTTGGTTGTAAAGTTCTGAAATAAAGGGCAAGTAGGTTGAAAGGGCTGTAATCAATTGACCATTCAAGTACCTACTCTGTGCGATAAGCAAGTAAACTTCAAAATTTCCCGAATACGTGGTATGTCGACCAATGTTCGATGGTAGAATATTTATTAAACTGAATATTCTGTACATACTTCTAGTTCACACAAATGAAAAAGTTTGGGTGTTTTTTCTTTTCATCCGCAGCATTTTGTTAGCTTTGGATCTGATTAATTACTTTTTTTTTATTTTTTAAATCAAACAACTAGTGCTGTTAATTCTTCAATGTCAACAAAGGTGTTTGTCGGTATTGATTGTTTTGGTCGTGGTTGTATTGGAGGCGGTGGTTTCGGTACAGTCGAAGCACTGAAAGTTGTTTTAGATATTAACGTCAGTTACTTTCTATGCCTTCCTATTTCCAATTAAATTGTCTTGAGGAACTTAGATTGTCAGTTCGCGCTGTTAGCTTATCAATAGTGTACCACTTTAAAAATGTTAATTGAGTGTTATACATATTATTAGTAATGAACTGAATTGTAATCCTAATATTTAAACAAAAGAAATTTTGGTTTCGTGGTTTCAACATAGAAAGCCTAAACCTAATACCGCAGATTTAAAATCCTTTTAAACTAACGCAATCATAAAAATAAAATTGGCATTAGCTCTCATTTAAAATATACAACGCATTTTATTGAACAAACTTGCTGTAATAAGATGGTGGTTGGAGGTATTCAACAGGAAACCCGGGTTTCGTGCTTCCTGGCACTCGTCGGTAAGGTGTACCTGTAATCTTGAGGGAACTGGCTCTCCCTGACGGATTCGACCCCGTGTCACCCAGCTTCACAGTCAGGGACGTTACCGCTGGGCTGTTCAGGCCGTGACCGACCTCCTGTAGGACTGAGATGTAATCACAATTGATTGATCACTGGGTGGTGATCAATGTCATGTGTGCGGACCGAATGCTATCCAGTGACCAATCAATTGTGATTACATCTCAGTCCTACAGGAGGTCGGTCACGGCCTGGATAGCCCAGTGGTAGCGTTTCTGATTGTGAAGCTGTGTGACACGGGGTCGAATCCATCAGGGAGAACCAGTTCCCTCAAGATTACAGGTACACCTTGCTGACGAGTGCCAGGAAGCACGAAATCCGGGTTTCCTGTTGAATACCTCTAACCACCATCTAATCTTAACATAGTGCACGCAATGTCGAGTCACCTAGACTAGTGACCACACTGCAACTTGGTCGATAGCATTCGATCTGCACTAAAAAGTAGTTGACACACATGACATTGATCACCACCCAGTGATCAATCAATTGTGAAAACTACTGTAACTTAATTTTAAACACGTTGAAGAGATTGAGATACATTACAAACGATGTTGTTAGAAATCACGTTTCGGGTGAATAAATGCATTATGATGGAACAATTGACTTGATAAAGCACGATCAGTTAAAGTAGTCAGTAAACCTATCTTTAAGCATCAGGTGAATAGATTTAAAAAGTCAGAACTATCAGTCGACCAACTTCATCATTTATTGAGGAATTGAAAATGTTATGTATAAAATGTCTATTCAAGGTATTATAATTTGTCTGATAATAATTAATTGATCTAAGATAAAAATGGTATTTTATACTTGTTATATATGTGTGTCCCACTCATTTCCCTATCATCTTAAAGCAAAAATACCCTGTTTACTTTGTTCTCTGTATGACTGACTGGCCCGTAATTCTTCAACCTTCTTTAGTATTCATAAATCACCGACCCATCCCGCTTATAAATAACTACCTCGGCCTTCTGCCTTTCTGTAAGGTAGTCTAGTTATGTATAGATATTTAACATTACATCGTTTATCAAACGCACTAGTAGTCATTTTTAACATTTTAGAAAATATTTTAGAGAGTATTATGCACTTAAAGATGTATTCAAACACTTATTTGATCCCCTTGTTATTTCTAACGTAAAACTGGTGTTTATATTCATTTGTATTTCGAATAATTATTGATAAATAAGTGGTCCTTAATAACATTTACTATGGATTTATTTGCGTTCTTTTTTATAACCTTGTCACAATGAGTCTACTTTATTCAACCGCCAAAAAATAATTTTGATTGAATGTAAAAAATTGTTAGAACCTGACTTTCATCTCAAAATATATTATTATTATAACCAAAGTTCACCATTACACGTATTTAAACTACGAGATTCACTTTTCTTGACATAATATAGCTTAATACTTTTTCGTCATTGATTATAATCATGTTCCACAGGCTTCTAGACCCGACCGCCCATTATCAGTGGCTTTATTTGCACCTGGTTGGGTGTTCGAAAAGTGCGATTTGACAGAAGCAGCTGGTGATCCAATCAAAGCATTCGGCTTATTAGCAGAGATGAACACAAAATTCTGGTCATATTTAAGTCCATTAATTTGTCGTCTACGGGGTGTGAGTAGTATTGATAATGTTACAATGCTATATAAACCTACACTTCCCAGTCTACCGGTTATTCAATTACCTTGTGATTTATGTGAAAAATATGATTCAGATATTTTATTTTGCACAACATGTTGCTCTGGTCAGGGTTTATTACCTCCAAAGCCTTGGACGGCACAAAATGAAATGATATTACAGTACGGAAGTCAAATGGGTCGGCAACAAGTAGGTGAATTATTATGTTTTCCACATTTACTGTAATCTATTTAGTGTATGTAGTGAGATAATCACAAAGGTTAAGATATTTGAACATATCAAGCACAAGTATAACAATGGTGTTCTAAGATCAGCTAACTATAAAATCAGTTGTAGAGAACCGTTAATTTTATTAAAATTATTGCAATCACCACTTTGTGAACAAAAAACCATGTCTCTTTTCGTTTAAGTCATAACTATCACATTGGAGTTTTCGGTGACTTGAAGTGAATATGCATATATCTTTTTCGGTGTTTCCATTTGAACCTTCATTATGGATCACCTGCCTATTGCCTGATCGGAATATCTCGGAATTGATTTATTTCGATCGTTTCCTGTTTTATTAATTTGCTATCGAACTGCATACTTTGATAATTTTGATAAGTCATTATTTACTTTGTTTAGATATCCAGCTGAAAAATTTGCGTGTTCACAAGTTAAATATCCACGTTCGATGCATGCTGTTTCATTTGTATTGCTTACAGAAAACACACACTAATTTTACTTTCTTGTTAAATATTATTGATAAGATGTAGATGTAAGCTTATTTTTCAGCAAAATATTTTTCAATTTTCCAACCAATGCAGTAGGATTGATGAGTTTGTTGGGATTCTTTGTTGTCTATTCTCGTTATAGGTTTTTTTTCGTGAGCGAGTAGACCTGCCTTTCCTTTTATTAATGATTCATAAAAACAAAAAACCACTTCGTTTATGATATTTCGAGGTAGTATGGAATATATTTGTGTTGAGTTATCATTTTGTGGTTCATCATGACCCCATGGAGAGAAGAGTCCTAGTGATCGTCCATGGCATCGATTGGCCTGAAGAACTATCAGATGTTATTTTACTAACTTGTGTGGCTTACATCTCTTACTGCTCATCGTCAGTCAAATTTACTTTGAAACAAACAAAGTATATAATAACTTACACTTGCTCTTTGTGGTTAGTAGTGTTTAAATTCATTTCATATTTGATGATACATTTTCTAATCGACATATCGTTTGTATGAATGACTCGCTCAATTACTGAAAAAGATTTAATTGTCATTTATGTGGTGCTTACTGTTATCTTGTTTAATAGATATTTCCAACTTGCCGTGAACTAAACAAATCATTGACTGATAATGACATGACGAAATTTAGTTTTTCCGTAAGTCATCTAATGATTGGTTGATAGTTTTTCCAGTTTTTATCCCACTAATTCAATTAGTTTTCTTTATCGGATCACTAATTTATTTTCTAGAGCTTTATCATGTAAGAACGTGCATTCTTCTAGAGACTTACATTCCTTATGGACTGATGAATAAATGTAAACTGGATTTTTCATTCCCACAATGGTAGTTGAGTATTTCTGTCTTTTAAAAAAGTCCTCTAAGTGTTTACTTTTCAAGTTTTTGCCACCAGTAGCCCGCTCATCATTTCCTTTCAAGTCCTAGATTACGTGATCATGGGTGGTGATCTATGTTCTATTATTTATTGGTTCCAAACATTAAAAAGCCCCCTCGTAGTTTGGAGTACCGTTTTAGAAAGTCATGAGCCTCAGTCGTTAGCACTGGTAGTCCATTACGAATATCAGTAGAAATAGAGGAATTACTAGAAACTGAAGGAGAGTTTCATAGTAAATAAGATAACTATAGGCATTTCTGAAAGTTTGGAGTAGGGATTGATGCTTCCCGGTTGCCTTTGTAGTAAAGAGGCATTTATACTTGCATAACCTCAAAATGAAATTTGTTTGCTGCTAAATCTTTCATAGACCCAGGATCGTGGACCATACTACTCAAGGGACAATTACTAAAAACAGGTTGCACTCAACAATTTACGCAAATAATTATTTTTTGTTTGTATTACTAACAATATGACTTTTTAAAGCATCCTAGGACAAAACAACTGTTCATAACTCCCTGATTTTTATTGAATTATAGCTAAATTCAGTCCTTGTTGTAAATTAACCTTGGACATCATTTTTGTTAACTTGTTGGGATTGAACTTAATGCTACTAGCTGGTTTACTTTCTTCACATGCTCATTACGTATAATGTTTCATTTCATAGGCTGTCCAAATCTTGGAAACAGGTTACGAAAAATTCACAGGAACGTGTTTATGTATACGTTTCGAACAATCCGATATAGTAGTCGATTTTGAGCAACAAAAATCAAATGATTCACTAATGGAGTTATTTCTTTTTGGTCGCAATTCATTTATATCTGATAAAGCACAATTCAAACTAGCCATTACTCTATACACTTTAAATAAGGAGACATCTTTGCCATCTGAACAACGTTTGGACCATAAAATAGGTTTAAAACTGTTTGTGGATACATTTCATTTCCCGGATAAAAATGATGGTGAAACTAATTTTAAACGCACATTTCTGACAGCTGATGAGGGTGAGTTTTTTGTCTTACATTTGACTTTTGACGATGTTACTTTACTTCTTGAAATATAATTCTTATGATTTCTTTGAGTGTTTTGTGTTGAAGCTCAATAGATCATTTTCACTGATGACTGACCGATTCATTCTTAACCACATTAGCTGAGTTTGATATTCACGAAGGTTAAGGATAATTTTAATCTAATAAACCATCAGTCACGTCATTTTGATATAAAATCTAAATATCACAAGCGTGCTAGCCAAACCCGAAGTAGGTAGAAAAAGACTGAAAACTCTAATCTGATTATTAGTTATCAGTCGGTTACAGTTTGTTATAAATGAGATTTGTTAAATGAATAAGGGTTGTGATTGTGAAAGTGAATCAATAAGGTGCCTATCAATTGGTGAAATTCAATGATACAATAGAGTCGAATGGTGGTTGTTCACGAGATTGAATTATCGACGTAAGCTCCCGGTCGAGCTGGTATCATACAATAAAATGGCTGCCCAGTAAAATAGGTTTTCCACTAGAAAATAACATACGTATGTAAAAAATATTGACATAAAACTGACATGATTATGTGTTATAAATGATTTGATAAAATCGATTTTGTATATTGTTCATTCTATATGTGAATGAAGGACTTAACCGTTAGACTTCCCCATCATTTCAATTTCATAATGTCTTTCTGTGTTACTGGTGATATTTTGTATACGAAATTGCAATGAGCTGCCACCAAGTCTAAGACTCGCTAGTTTCTGCTGGCTTATAGTTTCTAATAACTTATTTGTTTCCTTTTATATGTGTCATTTATACAAATTTTGTGACTGATCTAGAATTCCTGTCTACTTCTGTTTAAAAGGTAAACAGTCTATTGTAGATTTTAGCAAAAACAATGTGATCATTACCAAAAATATCTTTTAGTCAAGTCACTTGCCAGTTGAAGTCAATGGTAATAACTACTCCTGTAGAAAATTGTTTATAGTAGTGTGTTGATAGATTATACCTATTTATTTACTTTAAGATGATGACTGATTAAACTACCGTCACTACTCTTGAACTTATAATTACCAAATCTCAGCATTTTTAAAATGGTATTACCATTGGATATCAGCATTCCCTTGGAGACTGGTGATCGAACACTGCAGGTTATTGAATAGCCCTGATTCGGAGGGGCTAGGTTTCACAGGTATAGAACCGAAGTGCTCTCAGTGACGCGTTGTAAACCCGATCTCTTGCTGACAGATTAATATCACGACAATGCCAAAAGTGACCCAGATTGGTATTAGCTGCTCTAACTTATTATACATAGATTGACTTCATCTGTCATTCCACTACCAGCACTCACAACTACCCAGACACACAACCTCTCTAACTATTTCTAATAGCACAGCACAAACAGTAGATGTGGACACAGGCTTCTCCCAGTCTAGTTGAAGTACTTTGCTTTTCAAAGGTTTAAATAAATTACCATACCTACAGACACTAATTCTCAGCTAATTAAGTGGAGTTTGAATAACCGGCATATTATTGCACTGCAAGAAGATTCCACCCACATACTGGAAATCGAAAAGTGTCTCTCTAAGTAATAAACTCACGAATCTATGCAGCCCATATTTTGATATTTGAGCCACATTATACTATCGTCATTATAACGTCTAACAAAATATTCCTAGCTACCAAAGTCGTTTTGATTGTTTTTACATTTACACAATTAATTAATACTAACAACATACTATTGGTATTTAGTGCCATTAAGAGCTAATTTAATTCAATGTCTCATTATAGTTACATTTTGATTGTATGAGGGCTACTAAAAGTATAGAACTGTCCAGATTGTAATAGGTTGAGTAGAATTCGAACCTACAAGTGAAATGTTAAAATCCAATCGATTAAACCACTGTACTGTCAAACCACTTTCTTCCTTGCCGTTAATGAAATCTCGCCTATGTACAGTTCTTTTTTTCAGGTATCACAAGAAGAGGTTTATGTATTTACTTTCAAATCGCCCTGTGTGAATAAATTTTTCCCATGAATATAACTAATTTTAAAGTAGAGATAAGATAATCTAAGCAAAAAGTTATAAATATTAGTTTATTCTTCTTATTATTATTATTGTTATCATCATCGTTATTGTCATATTTCTATATTTAATCCAGAAAAAACTGAATTGAAAAACAATACACCTTGGTCTGTACTTCATTACAACGTAACTGATCTCATTTTTGATCCCAATAAAAATATTTCAGAGTCAGAAAAATTTTCAAATACAACATCTTCATCACATTGTATCCATCTACATCGTATCGGTTTAACTTGGAGTTGGAATTCGATTTTACATACTTATGATAAATCTATCATGAACTTCAATGGTTTTCTTATAGGTTTAATTGAACTACGTGATCCTCAATGGCCATTGGAAAATTATTTTGAATAATAAATTGATTAACTAATATGATTCATGTGTTTTCTTCACACATCTTTCACTCTCTATTGAATTTATTTATATTCTTTTCTTATTATATCTCATAATTTTGCATGATTTTCGTATTGTTTTATTTTTCTTCAAAAATTTTTATGTTACTGTGACCAACAACATAATTGTTGTTATTGATAATATGACTACTATGACTTTCAGATTTTTATACTTAGTATCTTATTATCATTTGTATTATTTATTAATAGTTTCCCTACATAAACAATAAAAATATCGACTTCAACCTTGCAATGATTTCTCTGTCAATGGTATGTATGTGTATGAGTCATGTTTTCAAAATAATTGTAATGATCCATTATCTTCTAGATGTTGTACGAACTAATTTTATTAAATTGTTATCTTAAACAGAGCAAGAACGAATATTGCTGCAGAATAATACGAATTCATTTTATTTCATTAGGTTCTCATTAGCTGCTTACAACCTAAAATATTTGAAAATAATCGTTATTACAGATATTGACATAATTATACATACGAGAGTGATGAAAGATGAATATATGTATTATGGTGTAGTGAAGATTCCGATAGAGTTAATGAGGTCATAAAATAAAGTTTGGGAGGGAAAGTTCCAGAACATTGAAATAGTGATTAGAACTTATTGAATTAAAAACACATTAGATGACTATGTAATGAAGTAACTGAAAATAGATTAATAGTAATAAAGATATAAATTGAAATCAGTCAGTTATGAATTGAAGAAAAATGATAATGATGTAATTTATACTTCAGAAAGAGTTGAAATAATCGATGACGTAATAAATAAAAAAGTTTAATGTTACCAGGGCAAAGAAAGATTTATTACTGTCTCTTTCTAGATACATAGATCTGGTTTTAGACGTTTGATTGCGATCGCTTTGGCAAATTTCAAAAGGTTGGAGTCTGATTGTTTGTTAATTACCTTGAAGGACTTCAGTGTATCGACTTCATGTCCTGTGTCAAGGAGATGTCTTGCGATGGCACTGGTGAATGCTTTTAATCCATTTGATCTTAAACTTTTCAGAATATGTTCTTTGAATCGGACGTAGACCCTCCTATCTATTCTACCAATGTAATTGCTTTGGCAGATACATGTAAATTTATATACACAGTTGATGGTAACATGAAAGAGATACCTGTCGACCTTTGATTGTGTTAAAGAACATGTTGTTTTGGACAGGACAATCAGTTTAGCTGCAGTATAAGTTTTTGTCAATGCACTTTTTAATCTCAAATTGATTGACCCTGTGACCTTTGGATTTAAGTTGAATAAAAATATTTTTTGTATTTGCTGTAGTTCATCTGGATTTTTTTTATCTACACGTTTTTCATATTTCTCAATAAATTTCAGTGGGTATCTGTTATTCTTTAAACATTTTTTAACATTCATAACTTTCTCTTCTACTGTATCTGCAGTACACATTCCCTCTGTTCTGTGAAACTGTTTTGACAAGTACCTTTTTGTAACAGATTGGACAAAAGCTATTGAAATTGAGATAAACCCCATTCCATGTGTCTTTTTTATAAACTGAACGTGGAACTGTGCCATCCTTTCTTCGTTTCATTGCGATATTGATTCAGTTTCCAGTCAGGTGTCAAGAACTTTGGTGTTGTTTCTGCACAGAATTTTCTCAATTATAAATGCTTTATTGGAATTGTATGCACAAACGATTTTTCAAAATTCATTTCTTAAAGAATTAACCAGACAGTGAATTAGCGATTAAATAACACAAGCGGCTGCAACACCACTTCAAGTGGTCGATGGTTATCCATAACTAACAAACTTAGTTTCTCACTTAACGTATTTACTGAACAGAATATACAGTATTTGTTGTGTTATTTGAATTACGACCGATATCATGTAAGACTAAATTTGTGTGTGTTAACCGGTCACTTAACAGCGTCTCCGTTAGTACTGGGTGAGGTCGTTTAATAATAACAATAATTGTACATTTTCTGATGCATGAATATTCACATTTATTGGAGACTCTGTTCTATATAATCGTTGGATTTTCATATTTATTTTCAAATATAACAATTTGTAAATGATTTTGGTGCCTGTGGTATAGCGTTTTGAAGACTTAGTCCTTATATTGTTTGCGGTCTTCATTTAATTTGATTTGTAATGGTCTGAATTATCTTGTTTTAGATATTTTTTGACTGACCTCTGACCAGTCTTAGTTGGAATATGTGCATCCTGTGCATGTTGCTTCAATATAACAATTACATCACAAATCGTTATAGAATAAATGGAATGCGGCGAGCAGTGTAATCCAGTACGCTCGTTTCGTCCTTTTTGAGACTTGCCAGCTGGATGCACCTGTACCTCTGTATTGTTTGCAAAATGACTGGGATCCAGTATCTTTCACTTCAAACACCCAACCGGTTATATAATTTATGAAGTTTCTTATTGTCATTTCAGGAATTTCTTCTATAGATGTTAAGGAAAGTGTGGTTTTCCATTTCCAACGAATTCGTGTGTGCCGCACTCATGTTATTTCTGTACGGGTTTCACACGTTAAATACAATTTCAGATTTTTTATTTACTTTCTATAATGTTTGACTCAACCCTTGTTTTACTCTTGACAAGTTTCATATATTATAGTCGCAGACTTTCTAGTAACCTTTCAACTTAAAATCTTTTCAGATTCCGAAATTGTCACCATTCTCATATTACTCCCTGTTACCGAATTTCCCGAGTACCAGACTACTTCGCTTTGGAACTTCATTAGTACAACTTTGCAGAAAGTCGTCCAATCAGAGTGGAAAAGTTGGTGACTATGGTGCAGCTGTTACTCGATTGCGTTTTCCAGTTTCTCCAAGACCGATTCGTATGAGAAGGGCTGAGGGTGTTGGTGGTGGTGTAACAGGTCGTATGATGTTGCTTAGACGATATGTTTCAAAGCTACTTGATGATGAACGCATCGAATTACCATGGCCACATGCTACTGAAACTCGATTATACGCTGAGCGTTTGATTCAGGAAAGCATCTTGGCATCAGCTGAACAGGATCTCGTTTCGCTATTTGAACTTTGGAAAAATTCTAAGGAACCAAAAACCAACGATAAACTCAATCTTGGTATTCTAGAGCTTTCTGTGTTTTGGCTAACTGAGGGACGTTTAGTTGAAAAATTATTCAAGGTATTCGAAAAACTGATTTTTAATTTTGTATGTTCTGCATTTTTTGTAATTTTATCTGCATGCATCAACTTACTAGTAACAGTAGGATTTAGGTTTATGTTTTGTATACGCTGTTGCTCATCACCAGTTTTATGCAGTATTGGGAGTCTTATTATCTTTACTCTGAAATAAGATCGTGTATCGGAAATTTGCTTCACAAATTCTGGTTTTGGCAGTCGAGTATTATTGTTAGCTATCACATAGTGCCATCTGCACGAAACTGTATTTACCTGCTAAATTTCAGTCCTGTTCATTGCAACATCTTATTTGAAAAGACCATTTCTGGCTTTTTTAAATCAAATATATGCCTAGTTTCTTTACCAACATGTGATTTGATTTTAACTTGGTTCGTGTCAGAGACTAACAGTTTTCAAACGGAGTTCTTTAGATTACTTTTAGCTATTAAACCTGACTCCATCTTTGGGTCGACACAATCAACTGCTTAGTCCATATAAATATTTATTTATCATTTGTATTGGCTGGGAACAAACGATTATCAATTATAATTTGCAGGAGATAAAGCCCGTTACCATTCTATTCATCTGGAGTGGGAATGAATGTTTAAAGAACCATTTCACCCCGTCCAATATATTCACCCTTCCAATATCTTATTCGGTGTCAGTAGCAACTATGATTGCTTTCATTTGTTCGACATCCTCAAAGAGGTTTGGCTAGCTTTGATAAGATTATTTAAAACGGAGCTGAAAATGTAGAATAACGGTAAGTTACTCATTGTTGGGGAGATCCAAAATATTCCTCGCAAAGGCACGTAGGGGTCCGTAAGACTCTGAGGAACATTTTATCCAGTCAGCGTTGAACAGAAACCGCTCAGAAGCATCTAGAAAGTGAGGAATCAAGTGTCACGTTTTTGATTGAATAATTACCTATGCTTCTACTATATTTAATATGGTTCCAGAAACTTTCAGAAGCCCAAGGCTGTTTGAAATAATATAAACACCCTCGTTTTTCTATACATAAACTAACCTTGGAGCAAAGCATTCTTTTCGCACTTCGTGATTTTTTTTCTTGTGCTCAAGCTACCGTGTAGATTTAGCTTGGGATTTTTAGAAGAGATTAGAAAACCGATTCAAGCATTCACTTATAAGACTTATAAGTGGCAATAGCCCTACGTTGTAGCTGACTCTCTAAGCGTCCACGAAATTGACTTTAATAAAGCACGAAGAGTTGACGTCTGAAATTCCAGAGTCATCAAACCTACGATAATATTCCTGTCTACAGAAAAGTCGTATTGAATTATGGCGCTGTTTAGGTGAAGTTAACTCAATAAGTATACTTGCATCTTGCATGTGTGTCTCAGGAACGTCGTACATAGACTGGATTGATTCAGTTTTGGCTAGTGTTGTTGATCCGTTCTGAGATACGGATTTTAAAGCGTTTGTCAGTAATATGGTTTATATAAATCAAAAGTTTCGTAGTCTCGATGGTCAGCTTGAGGAAACGTACAAGTTTATTTATTCGTTTATTTAGATGTGTTGGGTTTATTGCTCAACATTAAAGTCAGATTTCTGAGATTTATCTCACTTAACTTTTTGAAAAGTGTTACTCATTGGAGAGTTCTTTTCTGTTCTACAATGATTATCACTTCCAGCAATCGGAAGTTGTAAAACAAAACAAATTGCATGGTTTTCTATGGAGTGTTTTTTTACCGTCCAAGTTTACATAAAGGTATTAGTTGTCAGTTAGTTTTAGCGCAAATACTAAAATTGACTTTCAGTTTAAAATAACATAATGATTAAATTCTACTATTTAGTTACTGTTTGAATTTGTTCTCAAACGTAGTTGGATATAAGTGTTTATTTTGCTTTGTTCACATCCTTAATAATAATATTATTATTATTATTATTCATTAACTAATTAACAATAGGATAATGACTAGGTATCCATACTGTGAATTCTAGATATCTAAAAGAAATAACTATTAGATTTTCATGAGTATCTAAAATGAATGAAATCAATTTAACAAAACTCTCAATATCCTAACAGATTTTGTAAATGCATTAGTAAACATATTATGATAATAGATTGTTAATTAATAGATTCATTAGGTGAATTTTACTAAGGAATAATGAAGTATAAAGTGTATATTCCATTCAATTTTAGGCTAGACAAATCTATGTTGTATATTTATCATATTGACTGTTTATGTTCGTACACTAGAACTGGAACTCATTATAACTATAGTTTAGATAGTTTATTTATT